TACTAGCAGTTATAGGAATGTGCCTCGTAGTAATGCAATTACAAAACTGAGTAGGTGACTCCAATCTTACCTGAACATAAAGTTTGATTCAACTCCAGGATGAACTCAGTCCAATTGCTTGCTATCAAGATACTTTGGAACATTAGGGAAATTTGGGTTTCTTCTTCTCTAGGGAGACATCTTGCGTCCACCAGGAACAGCTAGGAAAGTCACATAGTGTCCTGATATCTGGACTTTGGATCTGCCTAATGATTTGGTCTGTCACTAACTCTAGACTTAATTATTTATACAAGAAGTGGGGTACAGGGCAGAGGTGCAGGAGGATAAGAGAATTCACCAGAGACAGAGTGGGGAGCAGAACAGGCAGAACAACTGAGGACACTGCTGAGGGGAGCAGCAGTCGAGATAGGAGAGGTCTGCTGAGCCATGTGGGAATCTCCCTGGCCAGCCAGGAATCGAACCCACGCTGCAGAGGCTGCAAACAGCATCACAATGCTGCGCTCAACCTGCTGCACCACCAGGGAGGCCCAGTAAGTATGGATTTTTAATGAAAGAATTTTAAGATGAATTTGCATGTACTTAATAAAAATATGTACATATGATTCTCTATATCATTTTTTTTTGTTTTTTTCTTTATTTGCTATAGGTAACAGTAAATATTCCCATTTTATGTTGTTTAACCACCTTTTACAGATATATCTTTATTGGACAAGCAATAGTTAGTTGAAATGTTTTTTTGAAATTAAATTGGACCCACACAGTAACTCTAAGAGGTAATAGCCTTTTCCTTCCTTTTATATTGTATTCAAAAATAACAAAGTTACAGCAAAACATAATTGCAAAGAAGTCCCAGATTAGTCTTTTAACCAGATCTCAACAATGTAAGTACAGCAGTTAAACAACTAGGGCAAATGAAAGCGCTTTCAGTGGAAGGCTCTGCCTGTTTAGAAGTTAGAACTGGATCTAGACAGAGCCTGCGGTGTGATTGATTGTTATTATGTTGAAAGGCATACTTAGTATTTTGCCCCTAAGAGTTTTTTTTCTGTACAGATTTGGACCAGACATAAATAGCTTTCTTGTGGAATTAATGGGGAATGCTTTGAAGATTTTCATCTCCTGAGTGTAAAATGTTATTTAGTAAGGATTTGGTTTTGATCAATACTATTTGGATAAGTATGGGGTATTACCCTAGTCCTTTATTGTTATTTTTTTTAATCATCCTTGTTATTGAATTAGAAATTATGTTAGAAATTTCATTTTGTGGGGGAGGGATCATTCTTTGGAACATGTCAAAGTGAGTCTTAAATATGTACTGTTCAATTGTATATTTTAAGTACAATTTAAATAAAATCTTACAGGGGTTTTAATTTTTCATATTCATACCTGGTGATCAGAGAAAACTTTGGTAATTAAAGCTGTGGCAACAATTACAATAATGCAGTTAGAAAAGTAATCATTTGCTTGCTAATTTAACTTAATTATTGATTATTTAATGCAAGTACAGCATTACATGGATGATAGTCACCGAGTATAGTTATAGAAAAACTTTGTTTTTGGAGATAAACAGTTTATGCAGCAATAAAAAAGTTATCTTTTTAGGAAACTTACTGGTCCTTTGATTCTGGAAAGGGAATTGTACATGAGTACAGACCTTGGCAAATTGTCCCCTCATGTAGACTTATACTATAAATGTGCTACATATTTATTTGTTGGAAGAGAAAGAAGGAAGACAGGAAGTAAAAAAGGGCGGAAGGAGGAGAGGAAGGAAGGAGGAAGATATCTTCTTGAGTTTCAAAGTGGGTAATAATTATAATAGTAATAGTAATAGTAATAATAATAAAGCAATTGAAAAACAAGCTGCAGTCTGTCTGATGCTGTGCTAAGTGTCTAAGTGTTTTACATATACAGGACTTTAATTTCTTGTCTATGTCTCTAAAATTAAAAGGATTTGTATTTTATATATTTTTTTACATAATTTTTCATTTTTGTACAATGAATGCATTTTCATCTTTGAAGCTTAAGTAGCAGCAAGACCATATGTGATCTGAACTCGGTGGCAAGAATGATTAAATGGACAGTTTTTAATTTTTTAAAAGAAATAAGGTAGAATTGATTTATAATACTGCATATGATTCAGAAAATAGTATCCTATCTTTTCAGATGTTTGTTACACCTCCACACCTATCACTACGGTACCCCTGTTGGTTTTCCCCTAGAGTGCAGCGTAGCCCCTCCCACCTGTGCTCTCTCTACCTTCCCCCTCCCCTCTAGTAGCCTCAGTTTTATAGTCAGATTTCTAAGGTTTGTTACTGGTTTGTTTTATCTGGTCTTCATTTTTTTTCTCTATCTTCCACTTATGAAATTAAAATCATCTGGTACTTGTCTTGCTTTTGGTTTATTTTGCTAAGCATAATCCCCTCCATGTTGTTGCAGATAACAGTTAATCATTTTTCTATCTTTTTCATAGCTGAATAGTATTCCACTGTGTACAAAATGCCACTTCTTTTTATTTTTTTTTTAAAGATTTATTTATTTTTATACAAGAACTGGGGTACAGGCCAGATGCATGGGGAGGGTGAGAAGATTCACCAGAGACAGAGTGGGGAACAGAACAGGCAGACTGATTGAAATACACTGCTGAGGGGAGCAGCGGGCGAGATAGGAGAGGACTGCTTTGCCATGTGGGATTCTCGCCGGCCGGCCGGGATTGAACCTGCACTGCAGAGGCTGTGGACAGCTTCACAGTGTGGTGCTCAATCGCCTGTGCCACCAGGGAGGCCCCATATGTCACTTCTTAATGTACTCATCTGCCTCTGAGCACTTGCTTGTTTCCATTATTTGGACAGTTTTTGACTTAAAATATTTACTTATCCCACTTTAGGTAAATACTATAGGTTCTGCAGAAATAGTATATTTGATTGCAGAGCATTATACAACACATAGTACACATACCGTATTATCTCTCTGAAAGAAAAGTAATAACTGAATTCTGAATCACTTGTAGTCATTTACGAACTCATTCAGTCTTCACAATAATTTTGAACTTGCCTCTATTACCTGTTTTACAGAGAAAGCCATTCAACAGAGATGTAAATAAAGGAATATTTACCAATATGACTATTTTGAAGACTGCAACTCTCTTTAGAAATTCTTTGAAATTGTTTTTTTATAAAGTGTTGTCAGTCTTTTTAGACTCGGTAAAGGAAAAAGGGAAATGACATGAATACTTATATGTTAAAACTTCTGGGATTTATTATAAAAGTACTGCTACTATTTCTAGGCAGTTCCAAATGAATTAGGATAAAATTTAAAAATCAGTTTCTTTTGGGTGGTTCCTACTGCCAAAGTATAATGGTTCTCTGCCATGTGGAACGCCATCATGTAACAACAGGGAAATAGGAGAGAACAGACAGCTCACATTAGGATCATTTCACTGACATCTGGTTTTATTTTTGCTTGTTACAACTTTGAGACCCCACCCTTAGTCACTTTATAGAATATGCATTATGTATATTTTACCACATTGTGAGAAAGTCCCCAAAATTGTTTTTGGCAACTAGCTAGCATTTACTTAATACATGATAAATATTAGCATTTATTCAATGCCTGGTATACTTTTGGTCTCCTTTAATTTTAGGCTGCTTATGCAGTAATTATTATGGGCTTTTAAATGTAGGTATTAATGACATTTACATTGAAATTACAATGTAGTCATGTTTTCAAGTATCTTCCTACAGGTGGCGAATTTCATATTTAACAGATCTGCCAAGTTTCTTTTAGATTTTAAAGCTTGTATTTAAGTAAACATAACCCAGTAATTAATTCCTCATAAAATCTCATGATTTTTTGGTTTTTGTGCATGGATAAATTTTCATAGATATGATGGCAACGTGCTGAGAACTGTTCTGTGAGGAAGTATCAATACCAAGTTATGCTGTGTGTTGTATGATGTATGATGGGCCTTGTCAAAGTTGTCGTCTTTGGCACTTTTGCTAGTTGTGAATGCAATAGGATCCTGTCTTTTGCATTTGGAGGATATCAGTGCAAAAGTTAATGCATAACAGCTTACTAATTATTGGAGCAAGGGGCAATCTCAAATCAAACTACTACACGGGAAGAGGCCAATTGCCCAGATGAAGGTAGAGACTGTTTATAGTGAATGTGGTTGCTGCTGCGATAAGCTTTCCAGGAATGTGTGGAGGAAGGTTAATGTAGTTTAATTCAGATTGCTTTGGAATGCTGAAATTTGCCCTTGGTTATCATTGGTATTTTACATGTTTTGATTAAATCACTTCAGATCCTTCTGAAAACTGCCAATGATCTGAGAAAAAATCTTTTGGCCTCCTGAAGTTGTTGGGTCCATATTTTGAGTGTAGACTCTACTTCCTCTTTGCCTGCCTGCTCTCCTTCTTCATCTCACATTGTTCTAAGGTCGTGTTTCCTACCTTTGAGGAATATGAATCTTTATCTTCCTCTTCTCCTTCAGTTCTCTCTTGTGCAGTGTGCATGCATGTGTGCTGAAACACCACACACACACACACACACATAGCTTTTTTCCCATAGGCATCCAGGATTCTTCTCTAATTAAATGATTTTGATGTTTCTCCTTATTTTGTTGAGAGCCATTACCTAGTTAAAAGATTTTCAAGGTTCTAACTTGATGAGGAACATAAGGCTCAGAGAAACCATTATTTCTGTGTGTTAGTCAGGATTGTTGAAATCTTACAACTTGTGTTAAAACAGGAAACCACATTAGGAGGAAAGGACTTCAACTGAGCATTACCTTTCCTGGTTCGCAGCTTTGGATGAAAGTCGTAGAACATTCCCCATGACCAGGGTTCAGAAATGAGAAAAATACCTGTATTCCTTTGTTTTTCTCATTTTATTCTTGAGATTACAAGAGGCTTAAACTTGTCCAAGTGAATAGAATTCACTGTTTTCAGGGAGTCACCTCTGGCCACTGCTGAACCTCAAAATATTGTTTTTATTCCATCACTTAGGCAAGCACTGGATTACAGAGGAAGATACTGGAACCAAAGATGAAAAGGAAACCTGAAAGATAAAATTAGGAGTTTATAAAATGGTGTCTATTTAATGAATCAGTTTTGTAATTCTTTTTTTCAAAATTCCAGAGTCCCAGGACTGGCCGGTAATTGAACAATTGCATGTGTTGTAATCTAAATGAAATGTCTTGTTTGCCCAGAATTCCACCAAATATATCGGTTCCTTTAATGTGTTCTAAAAGGAGAATTTGTATCAAAATTCTAGTTTTTGACGTGTTACGGCTCTTGGACAATGGACATTGGTTGCATGCCCATCAAAATGATAATAGTAGTTTTGGTCACTGCACTGTAAGATGTTTGAAATTCCTTATACACCTAGCAGCTTACCTTGCTCTAGATGAGAATAATCTAAGCACTTGCTAGTGCTCGCTCTGTTTGAATGACCCATTACCCTTTTCTTAGCAACCTCTTTTCTTTGTCAATTATGGATGTCACATATGATCTGAGCACTTTTGAAAAGATGTAGCCTTTGCTCCGTGATCCCTGTTAAAATCTCTGTCAGTGGGGGTACATTTTCTGAAAACCTCAAGGTACAATGCATCCCACAAGCCAGCTCTTGCATGCACTAGGCTGACTGTGTCCTTGTCTTGACACTGCCAGCATCTGTCTCCTGTTGTCTTTTTCCTCTGCTCTCTAGGATTCTTTATTAAGACATTGAACAAGTGTGCGTCTTTTAAAATTTCACCTCAATTAAATAATTCCTAAAATTTCCTATATACAAGATTTATTGTGCACTTGAGACATCTGTCTCTGTGATTTTAAGTCATGTATATGATCTTAAGTAGCAAATCGTGCTTGATGTGCCTTATGCATATAATTTAGAGCAGTGGTTTTCTAATCTTTCCAAGTAGAATCTTTTTTTTCAAATGAAATCTTGCACAACTCAAATATATAGGCTAAAGCAGAGTTGGTCTGCTTCAGATCAGAGCATAATCAGTCATGTTCATTTTCTTTTCTAAAAATACTATCTCTCCCCCTAAATCATATACTGTATTGTGTCTCCTCCACTTAAGAAACTGATGCCTTAAGGGAACACCTTTTAGAAAGAATAGAATAAGACATGTTATTGGTAAATTTGAAAGAGAACTCATTTGACTTTAAGGAAAATGTTTTATTTATTAAATATATAAACCATCCTACTCTTTGGCTGCTCACATAAGAATCGAGAGATTGGTTTGCAGCAGTGATGGGCAAATATAGCTTTGTAAATAAAGTTCTACTTGAACATACACATGTTTATGTATCATGTATGGATTCTTTCACATTATAAGGCAGAGTTTAGATGAAACTGGATGCCCCATAGAACTCAAAATATCTATTATCTGGCCACTTGAATAAAAAAATTGCAGAAAACTGTCCCATGGGAGTCATATGCTTAGTACTCTATAAATAAAAAGTATATATTAATCTACATTTTATAAATTATAAAGAATTAATTTTTGTAATTGGTAATGTTTACAAAGAAACTGTGTGGTTGAAATTTAGTGTGTCACTATTTCTACTTTGGAATATGTTGGTATTTAAAGTGGATATTAAACTTTATTTAATGCCTTTAATTTTCTGATCAAACTTTGATTCCACACTTTCACTTGATGCCTCAAAAAAGGTGAAATTTTCCTACCAATGTTCTCAATTTAAAAAGGGCTTTTGAATGTATTGATATGATATGAAAGTTACTCTGTACCAAGGAAGGAAATTCTCTCTTCCCCAACCCAGTCTTTGAATAACTCCAGATCAATGTGTATCTGCAATGTCCTTGCTTTTATCTAATATGAAGAAAGCCAATGTGCTGATGGCCTCTGCAAAGCTTTCCAAGTTGGCCCAAGATGAAATAAATTCTCCTTAAAGTAAAATAAATGGTGTCCCACAGTGTTATTGATACAATACATGCCATCAACAATGTCTTTCCATTTTTAATAATACATCATAGCAAGAGAGATGAGGCTAATAGAAGATTCAGCTTTTACTGAGGGAGATCTGAAGGAGATTTTATTCCTTCTAGTTCACTTTTAAAGGAATGTTCCCCTTAAACCCTTTACCTTAAGAAATACCAGTAATCGATAATCTAAGAAAAGGTGAAACAAAACTGCATTTGTTAACTTTCTTCAAAGAAAAGTGCTTATTTAGCCAACTTAAGCAAATTATTTCAAATTGACTAAGGGCTTGAACAAATAGTTGATTTTTTTTTCTGGATCAATGATAATTTCCATTCTGTGAGTGTCAGCATGTAAAAGCTGTCAAGTCACAAAATATCATAAATATCTGAATTAGCTGTTTTTTTAAAGATATTGTTTACACTAGAAAACACTTCATTGGACAATAAAAAATTATAAGGGAAGAAAATAAAAGAATGGCAAGTAGGAAGTAAATAGGTTACCCAATGAGTAGGTATTATTAGAGGAAATTCAAGTGTTATGTTATTGGTCAGTCAGTAGTAGTTGTTGAAGAAAGTTTGCATAGTACTCTCTCTAAGCTGAATTAGAGCTATCCTCGGAGGATGTGTGTGTTTGTATGAGTTAAAAAGTGTGTACTGTCTGATGGTCTGATGAAGTATAACCACAGGTATATAGTTGATTTCAGGCTATTTAGAGATTTACCTTTTTTTCACTGAAGAGAATAAATTTAGAAAGAACATATTTAGAAAGGAGTGGCATGATTAATTACCTGAATATATTATGATACATCATTTCTTATGTTAAAAAATTGTTTCCAGTTGCAGCCAATGAAAATGTAACCCCAAATGGTGTTTTATTATCCCCATTTAACAGGAAAATACAGGGGTGAAATGGCACACTGTTTCCCCATCTCTAAGCTCTGTTTTCTTTTGTGTTACCATATTTTCATGCAGTTTTTTTCCCCTTAGTGGAAAAGAAATTCTTCTCTTCCCAGCATTTTGAAATACAATTTCAAATTTCCTGGATTTCTAGGATTGAAACATTTGCAAATAACTTTCGTTGACCTTGTTTGAGCTTCTCTCCATCCTGGACTAATTGTCATGTCTAGGTGTTTGGGATACTCTGAGCTTGAATCTTGTGCCCATCCCTGTCCGAAGGGAGGGTGAGTCCTTTTATGGATAGCAGACCCATGTAAAATCAGTTTATAAGATGGAAAGTTGGATTTTAAGCACAAGAATGGGGAGAGGGATGGTAGCAGATGAAAGCACAGATTCTTTCTCCAACGTCTGTTCTTGAACTACTGGGAGAAACAAAATGTTTGTGGTAATTCTAGTGATATGACCATGACACATCCATTTGCCTGATACCACCTCTAAGCCCAGTTATTTTAGTGAGCTTTAAACCACCTGAAAGACAGTTCATGTCCAAAAATTCATTGGTCAGTTCTTTACAAAAAGTGTCTACGCATTCACATGCTTTTTTAGTGACTAAGAAATGCTAAAGAGGTAGGAAAATGTAGCTCACGTCCACAATTTAGTAGCTCCTGTGTTATAGATGTCAGTGATTAAATTGCAGAATATAATTACTATATGCAATATTAGTAAATGTTGACTTTATGAGGGCTGAAGCAGTTAGTGAACTTCCTTTATTACTTTTTCCTTTCTTCATACTTTCCAAACTAGTAAATGGTTAGAATGAGTTTTTGTTGATATTAGAAGATCTTTTATTAGAGATATCACATGTTAAAAGGTTTTTATGTAAATATCATATGATTAAATTATTTTCTTCTTGAGCATATGAACTAGAATTAGCCTACAGTGACCCAAAAGAAGCATCACAGTATCTTTTTATATAATTTATACCATAAGTGTATATATTTTATATCTATATAGAACTCACATATCTGAAAACTAGTAATTAAATTATTTCTAATTTGCTTGAATCAAGGGCTTCAAATTTTTCTGATCCTGCATCCATGTAAGTAAAAGAATTTTGCACCTGGATAAGTAAAAATATTACATGTGTATCTCAAAAGGCACAGTCTATTTATAAATTATAGACACACCTTATAAGTAAACCTTCATTTCTTTTCTTATGAAAATGGAAACAGATGTTATTTTTTCATCTCAGTAAATATTCTTGCATACCCTGCTTTGGAGACCACTGATTTGAATGACAACTAGGAAATAATAAAAGAAATAGATGCTGTGTAATATTTTATTCTACTTCAAAAATCTGTTAAATTAACCACATGGTAACTTTGGTTTTGTTTGTCAAATTATAGATTTTCATGGTCTTAGGGGAGTATGGTTACCTAACAGAGTTGGTTTTCAAAGACTTATCAACACAGAATATGACACATATGCTTTTGTGCTGTTTTGAGTTTTTCTTGTTTTTTCCTGATTTAACCCTAAAATTTGAGAATTTTGCTTAGTGATTTTTTTGAGTATCTCATAATCAAAACCACTTCTGAGTATTTCAAACATTAGTGAGCAGATTCCTAAGCTGGACACTAGAATTACTGGAAAGTAAAAGTTGAATTAAATTTCTCACTTTTTGAAAACAAAAAGCAACCTACACAATGGGAGAAAATATTTGTGGATTATACATCTGACAAGGGGTTAATTTCCAAAATGTACAAAACACTTATATAAACTAACAACAAAAAGACAACCCAATAAAAAAAAAGAATGGACAAAGGACCTAATTAGATATTTTTGTGAAGAAATCATTCAAAGGGCCTTACAGACGTGTGGGAAGTTGTTCAGCATCACATATTGTAAGGGAAAGGCAAATCAAAAATACAGTGAGATCCCCTCTTTGGGAATGGCCCATATCAAAAAGAATGGAAACAACAAATGTTGGCAAGAATGTTGAGGAAGAGAAACTCTCATCATCTGTTGGTTCCCACCAACAGATGCAAGTTGGTGCCACCTCTCTGGAAAATGGTATGGATATATGTTAAGAAAATAAAAGTGGAAATCCCATATGATCCACCAGTTTCTCTGCTAGGTATTTACCCCTGAAATATGAAAACTGTAATGTGAAAAGAATTGGTAAGTAAAAAAAAAAAAGCT